TGAAAAGACCTGGAGAGTCCCTCCGTCTCTCCTGCCAAGCCTCTGGATTCACCTTCAGTGGCTCCTGGATGCACTGGTTGAGACAGGCTCCAGGGAAAGGACTGGAATGGGTGGCCTCCATTTATTCCAATGCTTACTACTCAGACAAAGTGAAGGGACGCTTCACCATCTCCAGGGACAATGCCAAAAGCCAGCTGCATCTGCAAATGAGTAATCTGAAACCAGAAGATACAGCAGTCTATTACTGTGCAGGAAACACAGTGAGAGGAAGTGAATCTGAAGCCCATCAAGAACTTTCTCTACTTCCGAACAGCTTACACTTAGTTACACTCCGTCCCTCTGCTTTTCTTTCAATATCATCAAATTTCCTCAGTCTCATTCTTTTCTACATTATACATATTTTGAATCTGAGTCTGTATTCCTGCCTTGTTGTCACTACTTGTTGTTTACTCTTAGCACCACCTATAAATTAGGAGAAGTTTTGACCCAAAGTGCTCCATACACATTCAAATCAGAGGTGAAATGCTCCCGGTTTGGACCGGATCGCCTGATCTTGTAGCAATGGAGGCGGGTGGTTCGGAGAACCAGTAGCAAAAATCCCTGTCTCCCCTCCCCCAGTGCCCAGCTGAGCCGCTCAATCATAAGAGGCTTTTTTAAAAATTTTTAAAAGCATTTTTTCTACAACCACTTTGGTCGAAAAAAATGCTTTTAAAACTAAAAGAAAAAGCCTTTGATGATCGCGTGGCTCAGCTGGGATCATCAGAGGCTTTTAAAAGCATTTTTTCTACAACCTCTTTAGCCGAAGAGGTTATAGAAAAAAATGTTTTTAAAAGGAAAAAAAGCCTCTGCCGATCAGGCAAGTCAGCTGGGATCGTCAGAGGCTTTAAAAGCATTTTTTAAACAACCTCTTTAGCCGAAGTGGTTGTAGAAAAAAATGTTTTAAAAGTAAAAAAAAAAAAAAAGTTGGCCATGCCCACTCAGTCATATTACCCCCCCACACACACACCAAGCCACACCCACAGAACTGGTAGTAACAAATTTTACATTTCCCCACTGATTCAAATCCATCAGCTTCTTCCCTCTATAAGGGCATGAAACAAATCTTGCGATTTCATTCTTGTAGACTTTTAGATTTTGGAATGTGACTGTAGAAAGTCAGCACCTACCCCTCCTAGAATTTCAACCAAACCTGGGAGCTCAGACAAGTACCTAGGATTTACATTTCCTCTTTTGCCTATAGAGCCAGCTATGACCCCTACATGACCCCCATAGGAATCTAATAACAGCCAATAGAATATTAAAGGACATGTTCTTGCATAGGAACAGGAAGCTCAAATACAAAGCCCAAATAAGGTAGAAAAACCCACCCAATCTCAACTCCATGTTGTCAGCTGCCCAGAATCACATGTGGTTCTGTTCATCATTAAACCCTCTTTCCAATCAGCATCCATGTTTTCAGAGTCTTTCTCTCCGCTTGGAACGGAACCAGATGGATATTTCTTCCTACCTGACTACAGAAAGGAAATTAGCTGCCGTACTTCCACATTGCAAAGCAAGAATTCAATTTAATCAAATGCGAGACAACTCTTGGTTTGAGTAATGAAAAATGTTTGCTTCGTTCTTATAAGGAAAAGCCCATATTTGTGTGTTTGTGTGTATATTGGAAAAAAATGTATATATTGAATGAAGAGGTGACTTTTTATCCATAAACATCCATGAATTCAGGGACAATAGGCAAAAATTGGAAAAATACACATGCTAGATAGAAATTCACTGAGGATGGATTCCAGCATGAGTTTAAAAGCTCAGACAATTAAACCTTTGGTCCCAGTGAATGACCCAGATTGGATCCTACAAGACAGCACACTATTGCCATTATTTTTTTTCTATTGCTTTTCAGCCCAAGTCCCCATTTCTAATTTTCCTTCCTTCCCCCCTTCCTTCCTTCCTTCCTTCCTTCCTTCCTTCCTTCCTTCCTTCCTTCCTTCTGATTGTCCATTTTGAGGAATCAACTGTGGGCAAGAAAGATGTAACAAAAAGACCACACAAAATAGCCTCCAAAACAAAAACGATTTCGGACTGCATTCAGTTCTTTTGGGTTTCTTCAAACGGTCATGTTCAAGGAGAGGGGGAAAGTATAAAACCTTTCTTGAACTCAGATGTGCTGCTATTTCAATGCTTTTTAACATGCCTCTTTTAAATGTTCTTAGTGGTTGTTCAAGAATTGTTACTTTGAATCACGTTTGAGAAGTGGTGGAATTTTGAAAGTCTTTGTTTTAGTTGCTCTTCTGTAAAGGCTGCTTCATTTTTCTTTGGACTGGGAAATTGTGTAAAAATCCACCGTGCAGGGCCTTTGCAAGGAGAACTATGAAAATCCTGCTCTGAGGAACTCTTTTATCTCAAGCAATATGTAAATGAAGGCCCAATTTCCCCTTTAAAGGCAACAGTTGACACCCACCGACACAATGTTCGTGCATTTTCCCAAATCTTTTTCTGTCACATACCCTCCATTTATTAGAGAGAGGCAGAAATGATCCTGTGCCTAAAGTTTTTATTCTTACTTCTACTCCTTGGAGGTAATGTTCCACTCTATTGAGAGTTTCCTTCATTTTTTATTCTTATATACAGGAAATCTCACTTATAATATTTTTGTTTTTAGGTGTCCAATCTCAAGTCCAGTTGGTGGAATCTGGAGGGGATGTGAGAAGACCTGGAGAGTCCCTCCGTCTCTCCTGCCAAGGTTCTGGATTCACCTTCAGCAGCTACGGCATGAGCTGGGTGAGACAGGCTCCAGGAAAAGGACTGGAATGGGTGGCACACATAAGCAGTGGTTTAAGTACTTACTACTCAGACAAAGTGAAGGGGCGCTTCACCATCTCCAGGGACAATGCCAAAAGCCAGATGCATCTGCAAATGAACAATCTGAAACCAGAGGACACATCTGTCTATTACTGTGCTGGATACACACAGTGAGAGGAAGTGAATCTGAAGCCCGTCAAGAACTTTTTCTGCTTTCTGAACAGCTTACACTAATTTACACTCAGTCCTTTTATTTCTTTCCTTGCTGAATTTCCTCAGTCTCATACTTTCCTACATGTCATTCATTTACCATTCCTTCTCCGTTAATATTGACGTCTTTAAGGGGCGTGCATAAACACACCAGTGTGCCTACGGTCCCTGTCCTAATGTTAACTTTTATTCATATCCATTTCATGCATGCATAATCATGTTTATACCTATACCTGTTATCTAATGCATGCTTGACAAAAATAAATAAATATATAAATAATTTATTCTCAGTATGTTTAAGCCTGAGTCTCTGTATAAAATCCCCTGATGCTTGAAGCTTTCTCCCCTCAACTGGGCTGTGCCAAGACTGACAGATATTGGCAATTGAAAATCTCTGCTCCCATGAAACATTCTGGGTCTGTATATTTTGGACTCTCTTCTTGCCTTTTTGTCATTGCTTGATGGTTTTTCTTAACCACCACTTACAAATCAGGAGAAGTGTTGACATGATGTGGTCCATACTGGCTTTGGGGTATGGGACATATTCTCTTCCCTCAGGATTTTTCCTCTACAAGGAAAGGAAACAAATCAAATGGTCTCATCTTGTAAACTTATAGATTTTGATGTGACTACAGAAAAGAAATTCAGCTTCACAGCTTTCACATTGCAAAGCAAGAATTCTACTTAATCAAATATAAGGCTACCCATTGTATGAAACATATTTCTCTTGATATTTATAAGAAAATTTCTCTATTGATGTGTTTGTGTGTATGTTACAGTACATTAATATTTATATTCTCCCTCCCACACGTTGGTGTCTTGATAGAAAAAACTATATATATATATATAATATATATATATTATATATATATATATATATGTATGTATGTACGTATGTATGTATGTACGTATGTATGTATGTATGTATTTCTCTTTAGCCAGGTTCTTCCTACGTAAACCAATTACTGCAGGTTCGAATCTCACCAGGCTCAAGGTTGACTCAGCCTTCCATCCTTTCTAAGGTAGGTAAATTGAGGACCCAGTTGTGGGGGCAATAAGCTGATTTTGTAAAATAATACAAAAGTATGAAGGCTATTGCTTAGCGCATTGTAAGCCACCCTGAGTCTCCAGAGAAGGGCGGCATATAAATAAATTAAAAAAAAAAATACTGTACCTTTACAGGGAGGATACATGGGATGAAGGTGTGGCTAATTGATGAGAGCTTATAACTCCGAAATAGATCTATCTTAATCTCCTTAGTCTCCCAATGGGCAGCAGGGTGCTGGCTGCCAGAAAAAAGCCTAGAAACTAGTGGATTGGGATTTCACTGAACTAGGGCTGCATAAAAATCTTGGTTTACGTAGGAAGAACGTGGCTAAAGAGAAATACACATAAAGCCCTACGAAAAGAAAAGAAAATACATATGCTTTCTTCTCTTACCGTAGGTTTTTTCTTCAACCGGGTAGTTTTCTATGTAAACCAAGTTTGCAGCCATAGTTCAGTGGATGTTATTTCACTGAGCTATGGCTGCAAACTTGGTTTACATATATATATATATATATATATATATATGTCTTTGGTCATTCGGGTTTTCTCCCGCGTAAAATTGGAAGTGTCTTGGCAATTTTACGCGGGAAAAAACCCGAATGACCAAAGACCTACATGCAAACACCTGCGAAAACCTCAGAAAACACACACACACACACACACACACACACACACACACACACACACACATATATATATATATATATATATATATATATATATATATATATTATAATATATAACAAACTATTCTGAAAATAGTTTCCTAAAAGGAAGCATTAACTTCAATAGTTTACCACATCAACTGTCATACAGTTGTAAGTGGAAGGAGATGGGTGGTGGGAACGATGAGATGATTAATAGTAATGCAGACTTAGTAAATAGTTTGACAGTGTTTGTTTAGCTTTATTAGCTTTGTTATTTAAAAAAAGAATGTGTGACATTTCTTGTTTTGTCACCAGAGAAGCTGTCCAGGAAGTTCAAATCACTGATGGAAATGAAAACAACATAGAGGGATGTTTTGTCAGGCTTGGTGGCCATGTGAAAAAGCCCCAAAAAATGTAGATACAAATATGTACACTAATTCAGAAGATTTTGTGGCTTAAGCTTCAATGGAAAGTATAAAGAGAGTTTTATTTTTGGAGTAATAGACAGGTAAATTTTTAAAAAAAATCTCATTATTAGCCGAAGATGAAGGGAAAAGAGGGAAAACTTTCCAAATCTGGTTAATTGAAGGTGAACAGATAAGATCTGGTTGTTAGGGATGGCTTGGTTGACTCTAAATGATCTGGATGGTGCTTCCTGAAACATTATTCCATGATTTCATTGGATTTGCAAATGTAAACAACAATCCCACATTCCAGATAACAAAATCTGACACAGAGAAATGATTTAAATAGAATGACCAGTTATTCTTTGGAAGAATTCACTGAAGGGATCTAAAGGAAATTGAACATCTCAAGAAGCTTCAACCTGCACTGTGAAGACATGTCTGAGTTGACCACTGATGTTCTCTGCTAAATATAGAACAAACTGAATTATGCAGGTGAATACAAAGTGCTATATTTGTATTTCTCACTCTATAGGGAGACTCTATATGGTAGCATTGAGATTAATGCTATAAGTATTGGTAGTAGTAGTCCTATTATTTCAATTTATATGCCTACCCATCTGGAGGAATCATCTCTGGGCAGCTAACAACCAATACAAACACCACACAAAATAGAAACGAATAGAAACTACAGGAGCTGAGGTGGCGCAGCGTTTAGAATGCAGTTCTGTAGGCTCCCTCTGCTGCCTGCTGGCTGACTGCAATTTGGCAGTTCAAATCTCACCAGGCTCAACGTTGACTCAGCCTTCCATCCTTCCAAGGTCAGTAAAATGAGGACCCAGATTGTTGGGGGCAATAGGCTGATTCTGTAAAACCACTTAGAGAGGGCTGTAAAGCATTGTAAAGCTGGCTGGCTGTTTGTGTGTGTGCGTGCGACGGGGACAGAACAAGCAGCTAGAAAAAAACTCATGTAGCTTTCTTTATATATATGGTATCTGCAGGGAAACTATTATATGCTCAAAAATGGAAAAACTCTACAATGGAGAGTGAAGATAATGAAACCTTCAGAGAAGCCTAACAATAACATCTTTGATTAGAAAATCCTTTATAGACCTTTTGCATGAAACAGAAAAACATGCAGTTCGTGATTTGTAATGTTGATGAATAAAATGGATAGTAGAAAAACATGAGTTCTTTTTTGTAATCATAAAGAAAGAGTTAATATTGCAAATGTACTTATATTTGCTGTAGAAAAAATACAAAGATTCCTGTATCTGTTTCTTTTCAGTCTCTTTCTGTATTTCTTAATCAATCTTCCTTCCTTCCTTCCTTCCTTCCTTCCTTCCTTCCTTCCTTCCTTCCTTCCTTCCTTCTTTCCATCCCTCCCTCCCTTCCTCCCTCCCTCCTTCTTTCCTTCCTTCCCCAAACTGACTTATTATTATTTTTCAATGTATACCTTTACTATTACTCTTGCCATTATTATTTCTTTCTTCCTTCCTTCCTTCCTTCCTTCCTTCCTCCCTCCCTCCTTCTTTCCTTCCTTCCCCAAACTGACTTATTATTATTTTTCAATGTATACCTTTACTATTACTCTTGCCATTATTATTTCTTTCTTCCTTCCTTCCTTCCTTCCTTCCTTCCTTCCTTCCTTCCTTCCTTCCTCCCTCCCTCCTTCTTTCCTTCCCCCCAAACTGACTTATTATTATTTTTCAATGTATACCTTTACTATTACTCTTGCCATTATTATTTCTTCCTTCCTTCCTTCCTTCCTTCCTTCCTTCCTTCCTTCCTTCCTTCCTTCCTTCCTTCCTTCCTCCCTCCCACCCTCCCTCCCTCCTTCCCTACCCCCCTTCCTCCCTCCTTCCCTCCCTCCTGCCTTTTTTTCATTTTTATGGTTGTCCATCCTGAGGAATCAACTCTGAGCGAGTAAGAGGTCAGAAAACTACCACAGAGAATAGCCTTCAAAACAAAAATGATTTTAGTCTGTGTTCAGCCTGTGTTCAGTGGCTCAGTGGCTAAGACACGGAGCTTGTCGATCAGAAAGGTTGGCAGTTTGGCTGTTCGAATCCTTAGTATAGGTCACCGGAGTGAGCAGGGGGTTGGACTAGATGACCTCCAAGTTCCCTTCCAACTCTGTAACTGTTACAGTTCTTTTGGGTCTCTTCAAATGGTCATGTTAAATGGAGGGGTGGGAGTATAAAATCTTTCTTCAACTCTGATGTGCTGCTGATCTCATGCTTTCCTAACATGCCTCTTTCAAATGTTCTTAGTGGTTCTTGAATATTTGTTACTACATTTGAGAAGTGGAATTTTTGCAAGCCTCTCATTTAGTTAACTTCTGTAAAGGCTGCTTCATTTTACTTTGGAGTGGAAAAATGTGTAAAACTCAACTGTGCAGGGCCTGTGCAAGGAGAACTATGAAAATCCTGCTCTGAGGAACTCTTTTATCTCAAGCAATATGTAAATGAAGGAACAATTTCCCCTTTAAAGACAACAGTTGACACCCACTGACACAAAGTTTGTGCATTTTCCCAAATCCTTTTCTATCACATATCCTCCATTTATTAGAGAGGGGCAGAAATGATCCTGTGCCTAAACTTTTTATTCTTAATTGTACTCCTTGGAGGTAATGTTTCCCTCTATGTAGAGTTTCCTTCAATTTTCTGTTCTTATATTCAGGAAATCTCAATGAAATGTCTTTCTTTTTAGGAGTCCAGTCTCAAGTACAGCTGGTGGAGTCTGGAGGGGATATGAGAAGACCTGGGGAGTCCCTCCGTCTCTCCTGCCAAGCCTCTGGATTCACCTTCAGCGGCTACCACATGAGCTGGGTGAGACAGGCTCCAGGGAAAGGATTGGAATGGGTTGCTACATCCGCTGGTTACTACTCAGACAAAGTGAAGGGCCGCTTCACAGTCTCCAGGGACAATGCCAAAAGCCAGCTGTATTTGCAAATGAACAGCCTCAAAGCTGAAGACACGGCAATTTATTACTGTGCAAGACACACAGTGAGAGGAAGTGAATCTGAAGCTTGTCAAGAACTTTCTCTCCTTCTGAATTATTTTCATCAGTCCCTTTATTTCTTTCAATATGACCGAACTTCCTCAGTTTCATTCTTTTCTACATTATTCATTTTTCATTCTTGCTCCATTAATTTATACCCAGTGTGCTTAAACCTCAGCCCTCACCCTTTTTTAAAATTATTTTTATAACACAATATAACAATACAAGACATACAACATTTATAAACACACTCTCTTTACAGCTATTGCAGGGTGATCTTTTTGTTATTCACAATTTCCCCTTCTTTCTTTTTGTATTATTCCGAGAACTGGTAGCAGAAATTTTGAGTAGTTCCGAGAACCGGTAAATACTACCTCTGACTGGCCCGTCCCCATGTATTCTCTTCTTCCCAAGTCCCCACTGATTGGGAGGAAATGGGAATTTTGCAGTAACCTTCCCCTGGAGTGGGGAGGGAATGGAGATTTTACAGTATCCTTTGCCTGGAGTGGGAAAGGAATGGAGATTTTACAGTATCCTTCCACTGCCCCACCCACCAAGCCATGCCCACCAAGCCATGCCTACCAAATCATGCCACGCCCACCAATCCACACCCACAGAACCGGTAGTAAAAAAAATTTGGATTTCACCACTGATGTGCTCCATTACAATTCAAATATATCAATTTATTTTCTCTGAAGCGAAGCCTGTGGTTTCACCTTGTAGAGTTTTAGATTTTGGAATGTGACTACAGAAAGGACATTCAGCTGCCCTACTTGAACATTGGATACTATACAAATATTTATGAAATTACAAAATAGAAGAAGAACAAGGTAAAGAGATGATGATAGTATGGGCTAAAAATTTTGAATATAGTGTAGATTTGGATAAATGGCAAAAGCTTTGAGAGAGAAATTGGAAACTGACAATGGCCACATCATACAAAGAAAATAAAATATTCTATAGGTGGCATCTGCCCCTGGCAAGATTGGCCAAAATGTTTAGCAATACAGTATGTCCCCAAACTGTTGGAAATGTAAACAAATACCTGGCACATATTACCACATGTGGTGGACCTGTATAAGGCAAGGAAATTTTGGATACAAATTCATATGTGGTTAGAAAAAGTGGACCAGACAACGTATAGAGTTTAAGCCAGAATTATTTTTATTAGGCATTATATCAGCTGGTTATGATAAAGGGACAATATATCTAATATTATACACCTTGACCGCAGCAAGAATCGCATATACACAGCAGTGGAAGAGCAAAAATGCCCCTTCAGAGGAGGAGACGATAAGGAAGATGCTAGTCTTTGCAGAAATGGACAGACTAACGCTAAAAATAAAAGATCAAAGAGATACAGAATACTATGCTAATTGGAATGAATTCTATCAATGGTTAGAAACATGAGGTAGAAGTTGGAGTGCAAAAGAATCAGGTTAAGTGGACATGGAAAGAGTTACTAAGTATGTATTAGAATGTAGCTATTAGAATGATAGATAGATAAGTTGACATGCTAGAATATGATGGTCAGAAATAAGTGTACAACACCAGCACTGTTTAAAATAGTAGATACATTATTTTATTTTTGCCTTTGTTTCATGGCAAGTGGAACGCCAGGACAATTACACTGTATTCAATACATCTATATGTAAACAATAAAAATATATTTTTAAAAAAGAAAAAGGATTGTCTTCATGATTACAAGGACAAGGAGATTTTACAGTATCCTTCCCCTGCCACACCCACCAAGCCATGCCACACTCCCCAAGCCACACCCACAGAACCGGTAGTAAAAATTTTGAAACCCACCAGTGATATGATAGCTATGTCAAAGAGGGAAAATTTATTCGGAGTAGGTTTCCCTCAGATCAATTTACAACACCTAACAGAAAATCTTTCGGGCTTTTCTTTTATGGATATAAATAAAGCTGAGAACTTCTTAAGGAAAGGAGATTAGATAGACTCTCCCGAGAAGAAAAAGACTTTATTCTATGAAGATCAGCTGGAGGGAGTGACTTAAATATGGTTTAATTGATTACGATGGATTTTTTTTTTTTAAAAAAAATATTTGTACGGTTAGAAAGCTTTCAGTTAGTTTTTTATGTATAAAATGAGCATGTATGTATACGTAGGTGTGCCAGTTCTTTAATTAATGCTGAACTATATTCTAAAGTAGGTAAAATATTATGGATTTTATATTTGATATGAGAATGAATGAGAGATTATTCCCCACAGCAAGGAGAAGCTCAGATGGTTTAAATGATTCTTTTATCCAAATAAGAGATTCTATTTAATTCTGTCTCTGGTTTGAAATCGCTTCCAGATTTTTTGATTGCAATGAGAAAAAAAAAAAACAATGAAATTTTGATTCTGTTTTTGTAAACTAGACAGGCTTATTGTTATAGAAATAGCTTGTGAATACTGTTGTGTAAAAGCAAAGAGTTGTGATTGTAATGTTGTTACCTTTGATTGTGCTAAAGAGAGTCGGAAGTTGGTGCATTTTTTTCTCCCATTACATTATACCCCCTCTTTTTCTCTTCCTCTTACTTTTTCATGGTTTTTTTCTTTGTATTTTATACTTCGATAAACTAATAAAAAGAGTTAAATTGAGAAAAATATAATCATTAAAAATTCTTCATTTCTAACACTAGTGGGCAACATTGTCATACAAAACGCCATTGGCTACAAACCAAGTGGGACTTTGATATGGAATAAAACAAGTCTCATTAGATCTTGAGGAATCAACTCTGAAGTAACAAAAACACGACAAAAATTAGCCTCCAAAACAAAAATGTTTTTCGTCTGCATTCAGTTCTTTTGGGTATCTTCAAAAGGTCATGTTAAACAGGAGGGGGGAAAATATAAAACCTTTCCTGAACTCAGATGTACTGCTGTTTTCATGTTTTCTAACATGCCTCTGTCAAACGTTCCTAGCAGTTCTTCATGATTCATTACTTTGAATCACTTTTGAGAAGTGGTGGAATTCTGCAACTCTTCGTTTTAGTTGCTCTTCTGTAAAGGCTGCTTCATTTTTCTTTGGACTGGAAAGTTGTGTGAAAATCAACCGTGCAGGACCTTTGCAAGGAGAACTATGAAAATCCTGCTCTGAGGAACTCTTTTATCTCCAGCAATATGTAAATGAAGTTACAATTTCCCCTTCAAAGGCAACAGTGGACACCTACCAACACAAAGTTTGTGCTTATTCCCAAATCCTTTTCTATCAGATATCCCCCTATTTATTAGAGAGGCAGAAATGATCCTGTGCCTAAACTTTTTATTCTTACTTCTACTCCTTGGAGGTAATTTTTCACTCTATCTAGCATTTCCTCCCATTTTCTGTTCTAACTGTATATACAAGGAATCTCATTGAAATATCTTTCTTTCTAGGTGTCCAATCTGAGGTCCAGTTGGTGGAGTCTGGAGGGGATGTGAGAAGACCTGGAGAATCCCTCCGTCTCTCCTGCCAAGCCTCTGGATTCATCTTCAGCAGCTATTATATGCGCTGGGTGAGACAGGCTCCAGGGAAAGGCCTGGAATGTGTGGCCAACATACATCCAAGCTCATCTAACATTGCTTCAGATAGTGGTGCTTACTACTCTGACAAAGTGAAGGGCCACTTCACCATCTCCAGGGACAATGCCAAAAGCCAGCTGTACCTGCAAATGAACAATCTGAAACCAGAGGACACAGCCGTTTATTACTGTGTGAGATGCACAGTGTGAGGAAGTGAATCTGAAACCTGTCAGCTCTGCTTCTGAACAGCTTCTGCTTCTGAACAGCTTCTGAACAGCTTATGCTTATTTACACTCAGTCCTTTTATTTCTTTCCTTGTTGAACGTCCTCACTCTCATACTGACTGTTATTCATTTTCCATTCCTTCTCGTTAATTTATACTCAGTATGCTTAAACCCAAGTCTCTCTCCTTAAATCTGTATAAATTCCCCTGATGGTTGAAGCTTTCTCTCATCAGCTGGGCTGTACCAGATATTGACGGTTCCAAATCTCTGTCCCCATGAAGCCTTCTGGGTCTGTATATTTTGGACTAACATCCTGCCTTTTTGTCATTGATTGATAGTTATTCTTACCATCACTTATAAATCAGGAGACGTTTTGACATGATATGGTCCATACACGAACTTTGGGGTATGGGACACATTATCTTCCCTTCCTCCACAAGGAAACGAAACAAATCCCATGGTCTCATCTTGTAGACTTCTAGATTTTGATGTGACTACAGAAAAGAAACTCAGCTGCACAGCTTCCACTTTGCAAAGCAAGAATTCTACTTAATTAAATGTAAGGCTACCCATTTTATGAATTATGAAAAAAAATATTTGTTGTGATATTTAGAAGGACATTCCCCTATTGATGTGTCTGTGTGCCTGTTAGGGTATGTTATAAAACTGTAATGTGAATGCAGAGATGACAAAATGACAAAAACATCCATCAATTAAGGGAGAATAAGCAATTGTTCCTTACTTGCTATATATCTCCCACTTGTGATTGCATAACTGTAACTTCGTTGCTTGTATCCTTGCGATTTATTTATTTATTTTTTAAAAATTTGTTATTGAAATTTATTATAATACAATACAATACAATCGGTCAGACAGTGTTACTTTTCTACACAGGTTAGATTGATTCTTCTTTTACCTTTCATAGTAATATAACGTAATTTACATATGCATCTTAAGATTTATATTAACTTTTATCTATTCTTTATTCTATTGTCAATCCACCTGTACCAATCATCCCACACCGTATAATATTCTGAGTCTTCTTTCTCATTTAATTCTAACATTAATTTGTTCATTTCGGCACATTTTAGAACCTTCTGAATAATATGTTCCTGTGGTAGTATGTCCTTTCCTTTCCAATATCCAATAGCCATAGGCTATTCTTGCTGCAGTGAGTATATGTATGATTAAATATCTTTTTTCCCCCCAATATTTTGTCTTTAGTATTCCCGGGAGAAATGTTTCAGGTATCAATTTAATTTTTTCATTGGTTGATTCTTGTAGCCAATTTTGAATTTTTCTCTAATACCTCATCGCTTTGGGACAGGACCATCACATGTGAAAGAAGGTATCTTGGTGACATCCACACTTCCAATATTTGGGGCTTACATTTGGATAGATTTTGCTAATCTCGCGGTCGCTAGGTGCCATCTGTATAGCATTTTATATTGGTTTTCTTTGTATGATGCTGCTTTTGTTAATTTATAGTTTCTATTCCAAATCATCTCCCATTTGTCCAAATTTATATTATGTCCAATATTTTTGGCCCACGCCATCATTGGCTCTTTTACCACCTCTTCCACCCTATCAAATTCTAATAAGTAATTCTATAATCTAGATAGTACTTTTTTTTCTGGGCCTATTAATAATTTGTCTAATCTGTTTGTTTCCATCTCAATGCCAAATTCTTCCTTATCTTTTTTGTACCTAGATTGAATCTGTAAGTATGGCCACCAGTCAATATGTATTTCCCTGTTCGCCTAGCGATTGATTACTTATAAGAATTCCTTGATTATCTAGAAGCTTTTTATAACTAATCATTTTATTAATCTCTGATGTATTTGGGTATATCATGGCTTCCATCGTTGAGTATCCCTGCAATTTATACTGACTGTTTCATTGTATGATTTGATTGCTTATTGTACCATATGACTGTCACTGGGTGTTGTGCCTTGTGATTCTTGATGAGTGTATCTTGTCTTTCTATGTACTCTGAGAGCTTATGCACCAAAGACAAATTCCTTGTGTGTCCAATCACACTTGGCCAATCAAGGATTCTATTCTATTCTATTCTATTCTATTCTATTCTATTCTATTCTATTCTATTCTATTCTATTCTATTCTATTCTATTCTATTCCATTCCATTCCATTCCATTCCATTCCATTCCATTCCACTCCACTCCACTCCACTCCATTCCACTCCACTCCATTCCATTCCATTCCATTCCATTCTATTCTATGCTATTCTATTCTATTCTATCTGTGGCAATAATCCAAACCATTGAATACAAAGTGACTCATTTATCTTTCTCTATCCATTGTGAGAATGTTGCTTTAACAGTCATTTCCTGATTTTGATTGTATATCTTGTGGACATCCAAATATGCTGAAACAGTCATAAGTGTGACAAATGGTCATAAATCACTCATTTCATTGATGTTGTAACTTTGAAAGGTCTCTAAATGAACTGTTGTAAGTCAACGTTTTTTAGTACCATGCAGAAATCTGAAAATGAAACTTCAGGATAATCTTTCTAAATATCCAAACTGCCATTCACATATTGAGGAAACATCTGGACCTACAGAATCTCCTCAGAGAATTAGAAAGATATGTCCTCTCCTCACTTTGGACACCAGGGGGCAATGTTGACACACAAAACTCCATGGTTTCTGGGTGAGGGTGGGGTAGGGAATAAATCAATTCTAAATATATATTATCTAATTTTGGAGGTGTGACAGATGTTATTTCTGTAATTCTTCCCTGAAAATCTCTCAACAATTACTTCCTTCCTTCCTTCCTTCCTTCCTTCTTCCTTCCTTCCTTCCTTCCTTCCTTCCTTCCTTCCTTCCTTCCTTCCTCCCTCCCTCCCTCCCTCCCTTCCTTCCTCCCTTCCTTCTTTTAATTTTTATTGTTGCCCGTCTTGAGGAATAAACTCTGGGCAAGTAAGAAATAACAAAAACATCACACAAAATAGGCTCCAAAACAAAAACGATTTTGGTCTGCATTCAGTTCTTTTGGGTTCCTTCAAATAGTCATTTTAAAGGGGAGGGTGAAAAGTATAAAACCTTTCCTGAACTCAGATGTGCTGCTGTTTTCTATCTTCTAAAATGTCTCTTTCAAATGTTCCTAGTGGTTGTTCATGATTTGTTACTTTGAATCACTTTTGAGAAGTGGTGGAATTTTGCAAGTTTGTTTTCATTGCTCTTCTGTAAAGGCTGCTCCATTTTTCTTTGGACTGGAAAATTGTGTAAAAATCAACCGTGCAGGCCTGTGCAAGGAGACCTATGAAAATCCTGCTCTGAGGAACTCTTTTATCTCAAGCAATATGTAAATGAAGGCCCAATTTCCCCTTTAAAGGCAACAGTTGACACCCACCAACACAAAGTTTGTGTGTTTTCCCAAATCCGTTTCTGTCACATATCCTCCATTTATTAGAGAGAGGCAGAAATGATCCCTTGCCTAAAGTTTTTATTCTTACTTCTACTCCTTGGAAGTAATGTTTCACTCTATTGAGAGTTTCCTTCATTTTTTGTTCTTATATACAGGAAATCTCACTTAAAATATTTTCGTTTTTAGGAGTCCAATCCCAAGTACAGTTGGTGGAGTCTGGAGGGGATGTGAGAAGACCTGGAGAGTCCCTCCGTCTCTCCTGCCAAGCCTCTGGATTCACCTTCAGCAGCCATTACATGGCCTGGATGAGACAGGCTCCAGGGAAAGGCCTGGATTGGGCGGCCTACATACATCCAAGCTTACCTAACGTTGCCTACTCTGACAAAGTGAAGGGACGCTTCACCATCTCCAGGGACAATGCCAAAAGCCAGCTGTATCTGCAAATGAACAGCCTCAAACCAGAGGACACAGCTGTTTATTACTGTGTGAGAGGAGCACAGTGAGAGGAAGTGAATCTGAAGCCCGCCAAGAACTTTCTCTCCTTCTGAATAGTTTACACTTATTTACATTCAGTCCATTTAATTCTTTCCTTGCTGAATTTCCACGGTGTCATACTTTCCTCCATGTTATTCATTTTTCATTCCTTCTCTGTTAATCTATAAACGGTCTGCTTAAACCATTGTTTGATTAGTCTAACCTTTAGAAAATTTCTCCATAGTTCTAGGTTGTCTCTCTCCTTTGTTTCCATCCATTGTTGTTTGTCTTTGCCTTTTGCTGCTTTGGAAAATATTTAGATCCCCTTGAATATGGTCTTGGATGAGTACTTCAGCATCTTCTTTGCTTGGCTGAAGTACTTTTTTTTTTTTGGCTGTTGTTTTTGGTCTTCAGCAAGTTCTTTAAAGTCTTCCCATACACATACACTTTTTAAGAATCATATGGTTTTTTTAAAAAATAAATAAATAAAGGAATCCTTCCTGTCTCTAATGTTGATATTGAGTAAATCTTGATGATGATGTCTTTTTTTTTTAGATTTGAAATACAAATTACACAATTCCTTAGTTTATTCCATCTGTTTATTTCATGTGTTGTATATCGGCTTATCATTTATTTGCCTTGTTTTATCTGGCATAAATATCTGATTCGCTATGTAATGAATCACAATAATAAAGCTTTCCTGTCTTAACTCTCTCTGTCTCTCTCTTCCTGTCTCTCTCTCTTTCTCTGTCTCTGCCTCTCTCTCTGTGTCTCTCTGTGTGTCTCTCTGTCTCTTTGTCTCTCTCCCCCTTTCTCTGTCTCTGTCTCTGCCTCTCTCTCTATCTCTCTCTCTGTCTGTCTGTCTCTCTCTCCCTGTTTCTCTCTTTCTCTGTTTCTGCCTCTCTCTGTGTGTGTCTCTGTCTGTCTCTCTGTCTGTCTCTCCCTGTGTGTGTCTCTCTCTCTGTCTCTCTCTCTGTCTCTATCTCTTCCAGTCTCTTTCAGTCTCTGTCCCTGTCTCTTTCTCTCTCTGTCTCTGTCTGTCTGTCTGTCTGTCTGTCTCTCTCTCTGTCTGTCTCTGTCTGTCTGTCTGTCTCTCTCTCTCTGTCTCTTTCTCTCTCTCTGTGTGTGTGTGTATTTCTATAAAAATCATGTTTGTAATATGTGTGCAAAGAAATTTATAGGTGAATGCACTGATGGGCATTCATTATCTGAAGCAATATGTAAATCAGGGCACAATTTCCCCTTTAAAGCAGTCAGGTGGTTTCCTGCATCTCAAAATTTGAGCTATTCCCTGTATCATTTCTGATTCCACTCCATTCATCAGAAGGAGCAAAAATGATTCTGTGGCCAAAGTTGCTCTTCTTACTAGCTGTCCTTCGAGGTAATGATTCCCTCTATAACATTTCCTTCGGTAGATGGTTCTTCCATGCAGAGACGTCATTGAGACCTATTTCTTTCTAGGTGTCCAGTCAGAGGCTCAGCTGGTGGAGTCTGGGGGGGATGTGAGAAGACCTGGGGAGTCCCTCCGTCTCTCCTGCCAAGCCTCTGGATTCACCTTCAGTGGTTCCTGGATGGCTTGGATGAGACAGTTTCCAGGAAAAGGCCTGGAATGGCTTTGCCATATACATCCAAGTTCATCTAACATTTACTACTCAGACAAAGTAAGAGGGCGCTTCACCGCCTCCAGAGACAATGCCAAAAGCCAGCTGTATCTGCAAATGAACAATCTGAAAGCTGAAGACACAGCAGTTTATTATTGTACCAAAGAAAGACACGGCGAGAGGAAGCTAAACGAAAACCTTCCTTTCTTCAGAGCAGCTCTGCCACTTGAGTCAGACCCAGATCCTGGATTAGGCAGAGAGAGCTGATCACTCTCTGGTGAGAATTTTAGGATTCTTTTGTTCTGGGTATCCAGTAAGAAAACAGGGTGTTGGACGATAATGAAAAATCACCTCAGAGAATGAGAAAAATGTCTCTCCTCACTTTGGACACCAGGGGGCAATGTTGACACACAAAATTCCATGGCTTCTGGGTGAGGGTACGGTAGGGAAGAAATCAATTCTAAATAAATATTGTCTAATTTTGGAGATGTGATAGTTGTTGTTTGTGTAATTGTTCCCTGAAAATCTCTGAAAATCTCTGAAAAACTCCTTCCTTCCTTCCTTCCTTCCTTCCTTCCTTCCTTCCTTCCTTCCTTCCTTCTTTCCTCCCTCCCTCCCTCCCTCTCTCCTTCCCTCCCTCCCTTCCTTCCTTCCTTCCAGCCTTCTTTTAATTTTTATGGTTGCTCATCTTGAGGAATCAACTGTGAACAAGTAAGAGGTCAGAAAACCACCACACAAAATAGCCTTCGAAACAAAAATGATTTTGGTCTGTGTTCAGCCTGACTAGGTGGCTCAAGTGGCTAAGACACTGAGCTTGTCAATCATAAAGGTCAGCAGTTTGGCTGTTCGAATCCCTAGTCCAGGTCTCCTGCGTGAGCAGGGGGTTGGACTAGATGACCTCCAAGGTCCCTTCCAACTCTGTTATGGTTCTTTTGCGTCTCTTCATATGGTCATGTTAAACGGAGGGGTGGTAGTATCAAATCTTTCTTCAACTCTGATGTGCTGCTGTTTTCATGCTTTCCAACATGTCTCTTGCAAATGTTCTTTGTGGTTATTTAACATTTGTTACTTTGAATCATATTTGAGAAGTGGTGGAATTTTGAAAGTGTTTGTTTTAGTTGCTCTTCTGTAAAGGCTGCTTCATTTTTCTATGGACTGGAAAATAGTGTAAAAATCAACCGTGCAGGGCCTGTGCAAGGACAACTATGAAAATCCTGCTCTGAGGAACTCTTTTATCTCAAGCAATATGTAAATGAAGGTCCAATTTCCCCTTTAAAGGCAACAATTGACACTCACTGACACAAAGTTTGTGCGTTTTCCCAAATCCTTTTCTGTCATATATCCTCCTTTTATTAGAGAGAGGCAGAAATGATTCTGTGCCTAAACTTCTTATTCTTCCTTATACTCCTTGGAGGTAATGTTTCCCTCTATGTAGAGTTTCCTTCCATTTTCTGTTCTTATATACAGGGAATCTCAATGAAGCATCTTTCCTTTCAGGTGTCCGATCCGAGGTCCAGTTGGTGGAGTCTGGAGGGGATGTGAGAAGACCTGGAGAGTCCCTCCGTCTCTCCTGCCAAGCCTCTGGATTCACCTTCAGCAACTATTACATGGACTGGATGAGACAGGCTCCTGGGAAAGGACTGGAATGGGTAGCCTACATATATACAGGTTCATCATACATTTACTACTCAGAGAAAGTCAAGGGCCGCTTCACCATCTCCAGGGACGATGCCAAAAGCCAGCTGTATCTCCAAATGAACAATCTCAAACCAGAAGACACAGCTGTCTATTACTGTGCAGGAGAGACACAGTGAGAGGAAGTGAATCTGAAGCCCGTCAAGAACTTTCTCTACTTCTAAACAGCTTACACTTATTTGCACTCAGTCCCTCTTCTTTTCTTCAATATCATAAAATTTCCTCAGTCTCTTTTTTCTTTTCTACGTTATTCATACTTTGGGTCTGGGTCTGTCTTCCTGTCTGGTTTCCACTACTTGTTGTTTACTCTTACCAGCACCTATAAATCAGGAGATGTTTTGACATGATGTACTCCATAAACATTCAAATCCATCAGCTTCTTTCCTCTACAAGGACATGAACAAATCCTATGGTTTTATCTTGTAGATTTTTACACTTTGGAATGTGATGACCTTGAGCCTTGGTGGCGTAGCAGACTAATGCACTGTTAAGTAACACCAGCTGCCTGTAATTACTGCAATTTCAAATCTCATCAGGCTCAAGGTTGACTCAGCCTTCCATCCTTTCGAGGTAGGTAAAATGAGGACCTAAAAATATTTTTGGATACTGATATGTACACCTATCCAGAAGATTCTGAAAGTTAAACTAAAATTGAAAGCAGAAAATTTTCATTTGGAACTAATAGAGATTCAGCTAGGAAAGTCATGAAGCTTTCTTTTTATATATCAGTGATGGCTAACAATTTTGTCGTTGTGTGCAATAATGAACTGGTGGCATGAATCCCCACCCTGTGGATGACCCCTCGCATGCTAATGTGCCGCTTGTATTCCCCATGCTTGACCCCCCCCGCATACATGCGTGACACCCCCACACTCCCCACTCACCCCCGAGCATGCACACACGACCACACCCCTCACCCATTTTTGGCTTCCAGGTTGGTGCAGGAGGCTTTCCAGGCCCAAAATGAGGCATGGGGAGCCGCACGCGCCCTCTCCATGCCTCGTTTTGAACCTGGGTGGCCTCCTGCACCAACCTGGGAGCCAAAATGGGGTGTGTTGGTGCCGCGCGAGGCCCCAAAATGCAATCTGAGTGCCCCCTCGCGCATGTGCCCATCACTGCAAATGCAAAAGATCACATGAGCACTGATAGAATCAACAGACCATAGTTTAAGAAGAAGCATTCACACACACACGTATTTCTTGCACAATGCTTAAGTGAATTACTGCAGTGGTTAAGTTAGTAACTCAGTTCTTAAGTCAATCTGGGTTGACTTTGCTTGACAGAAGGACGTAAAAAGTGATCACAAGATCCCAAGTCACCGCAGAGGTCATAAATATGAGTCAGTTGCCAAGCGTCTGAATATTCAGCATGTGACCATGGAGATGCTGCAACAGTCATATGTGTGACAAATGGTCATAAGTCACTTTTTTCATTGATGCTATAACATGAAATGGTTACTAAATGAACTGTTGTAAGTCGAAATCTACCTGTATTTTAGTCCCATGCAGAAATCTGAAAATGAAACTTCAGGATGATCTTTCTAAATATCCAAACTGCCTTTCTCATATTGAGGAAACATCTGGACCTAAAGAATCTCCTCAGAGGAGTAGAAAAATGGGTCCTCTCCTCACTTTGGACACCAGGGGGCAATGTTGACACACAAAACTCTATGGCTTATGGGTGAGGGTAGAAATCAATTCTAAATATATATTGTCTAACTTTGGAGGAGTGACAGTTGTTGTTTGTGTAATTGTTCCCTGAAAATCTCTGAACAACTCCTTCCTTCCTTCCTTCCTTCCTTCCTTCCTTCCTTCCTGCCTGCCTGCCTGCCTGCCTGCCTTCCTTCCTTCCTTCCTTCCTTCCTTCCTTCCTTCCTGCCTTCTTTCATTCCTCCTTTTAATTTTCTTTTAAATATCCTCGAAAAACAAAAAATATTTTCAGTCTGTGTTCAGTTCTTTCGGGTCTCTTCAAATGGTCATGTTAAATGGAGGGGTGGTAGTATAAAATCTTTCTTCAACTCAGTTGTGCTGTTGTTTTCATGCTTTACTAACGTGCCTCTTTCAAATGTTCTTAGTGATTCTTCAATATTTCTTGCTTTGAATCCACCACTTTGAGAAGTGGTGGAATTTTGCAAGTCTTTATATTAGTTGCTCTTCTGTAAAGGCTGTTTCATTTTTCTTTGGACTGGGAAAAATCCACTGTGCAGGCTCTGTGCAAGGAGGACTATGAAAATCCTGCTCTGAGGAACACTTTTATCTCAACCAATATGTAAATGAGGGCACAATTTCCTCTTTAAAGGCAACAGGTGACACCCACCGACACAAAGTTTGTGCATTTTCTCAAATCCTCTCCTTTCAATTCCCACCCATTCATTACTGACAGAGCAATAATGATTCTATGGCTGAACTTGGTGTCCTTACTTTTATCCCTTAAAGGTAAAGTTTCCCTCTATGTATTCTTCCATCTGCTGTTCTTGTTTATAGGAGACCTCATGGAAACATCTTTCTTTTTAGGTGTCAGATCTGATGTCCAGTTGGTGGAGTCTGGAGGGGATGTGAGAAGACCTGAGGAGTCCCTCCGTCTCTCCTGCCAAGCCTCTGGATTCACCTTCAGCAGCTCTTACATGCACTGGGTGAGACAGGCTCCTGGAAATGGACTGGAATGGGTGGCATACATAAGCTCCGCTTCCAGTACTATTTACTACTCAGACAAAGTCAAGGGCCGCTTCACCATCTCCAGGGACAATGCCAAAAGCCAGCTGTATCTGCAAATGAACAGCCTCAAAGCTGAAGACACGGCAGTCTATTACTGTGCGAGAGAAACACAGTGAGAGGAAGTGAATCTGAAGCCCGCCAAGAAGTTCTTGCACATATTTTCACTAAGCTCCTTTTTTTTCTTTCAATATTGCCAACTTTCCACAGTCTCATTCTTTTCTACAAGTTATTCATTTTCCATTCCTTCTCCATTAATTTATACTCAGTGTGCTTAAACCTGAGACTCTATCCTTCTTAATTCCTTCTACATGAAGCTATTTAAAATTCCTTAATGCCTGTGGCATTGTCCCCTCAGTTGGCCAGTCTTAAGACTGCCAGATATTGGTGATTAGAATCATCAATTGTGTCATGGATCCTTCAGGGTCAGTATATTTTGGACTGTCTTTCTGCCATGTTGTCACAACCATCATTTGATGGTTATTCTTAGTACCACTTATGAATCAGGAGGACTTTTGACATGACGTGGTCTATATACTAACTTTGGGGCATGGGACACATTCTCTTCCCTCAGGATTTTTCCTCTACAGGGAAAGCAAACAAATCCCATGATCTCATCTTGTAGACCTTTAGATTTTGATGTGACTACAGTAAAGAAATTCAGCTGCACAGCTTCTACCTTGCAAAGCAAGAATTCTACTTAATCAAATCAAAGGTTACCATTTGTATGAATTTTGTCTTGATATTTATAAGGACATTCCCTTATTGATGTGTTTATGTGTATGTTAGAGTAGGTTAAATATATATATAATGTGAATGAGGAGATTATATTTTTTATCCACAAACATCCATAAATTAAGGGACAATAGGCAATTGTTCCTTACTTGATATATATCGTTGGCAATCCAAACCATGGAATACAAAGTGACTCATTTTTCTTTCTGTGTCCATTGTGAGAATATTGGTTAAGCAGTCATTTTTTTTGCTTTTGACTGTATATCTTGTGGACATCCAAAGATTTGTGCTTTCTAAACTATTCTTGTTTATTTACTGAAGATCACATGAGCACTGATAGAATGAACAGACCATAGTTTAAGAAGAAGCATTCCTACACACACGTATTTCTTGCCACAGTGCTTAAGTGAATTACTGCAGTGGTTAAATTAGTAATTGGGTTCTTTTAAGTGAAATTGTGAATTCCCCATTGACTTTGCTTGTCAGAAGGACGTAAAAAGTGATCAGAAAATCCCAAGTTACCACAGAGGTCATAAATATGAGTCAGGTGCCAAGCGTTTGGATTTTGAGCATGTGACGATGGAGATGCTGCAACAGTCATAAGTGTGACAAATGGTCATAAGTCACTTTTTTCCATTGATTTTGTAACTTTGTACGGTCACTAAATGAATTGTTGTAAGTCGAACTCTACCTGTATTTTAGTCTCATGCAGAAATCTGAAAATGAAACTTCAGGATGATCTTTCTAAATATCCAAACTGCCTTTCTCACATTGAGGAAACATCTGGACCTAAAGAATCTCCTCAGAGGATTAGAAAAATGGGTCCTCTCCTCAATTTGGATGCCAGTGGCAATGTTGACACACAAAACTCTATGGCTTACGGGTGAGGATAGAAATCAATTCTAAATAGATATTGTCTAATTTTGGAGGTCTGACAGTTGTTGTTTGTTTGTGTAATTGTTCCCTGAAAATCTCTGAACAACTCCTTCCTTCCTTCCTTCCTTCCTTCCTTCCTTCCTTCCTTCCTTCCTTCCTTCCTTCCTCCCTCCCTCCCTCCCTCCCTCCCTCCCTCCCTCCCTCCCTTCCTTCCTTCCTTCCTTCCTTCCTATGATTTTGGTCTGTGTTCAGTACTTTTGGGTCTCTTCAAATGGCCATGTTAAATGGAGGGGTGGTCGTATAAAATCTTTCTTCAACTCAGATGTGCTGTTTTTTTCATGCTTTCCTAACATGCCTCTTTCAAATGTTCTTAGTGGTTCTTCAATATTCGTTACTTTGAATCTTGTTTGAGAAGTGGTGGAATTTTGCAAGTCTTTGTATTAGTTGCTCTTCTGTAAAGGCTGTTTCGTTTTTCTTTGGACTGGGAAAAATCCACTGTGCAGGGCCCGTGCAAGGAGGACTATGAAAATCCTGCTCTGATGAACTCTTTTATCTCAAGCAATATGCAAATGAGGGCACAATTTCCCCTTTAAAGGCAACAGGTGACACCCACAGAGACAAAGTTTGTGCATTTTCTCAAATTCTCTCCTTTCAATTTCCCCCTCATTCATTAAAGGGAGCCAAAATGACTCTATGGCTAAACTTGGTATTCTTTCTTGCATCCCTTGGAGGTAATGTTTCATTTTACGTAGAGCTTCCTTCCATTTGCTGTTCCTGTATATAGGAGATCTCATTGAAACGTCTTTCTTTTTAGGAGTTCAATCTCAAGTCCAGTTGGTGGAGTCTGGAGGGGATGTGAGAAGGCCTGGAGAGTCCCTCCGTCTCTCCTGCCAAGCCTCTGGATTCACCTTCAGCAGCTATGAGATGAGCTGGGTGAGGCAGGCTCCAGGGAAAGGCCTGGAATGGGTGGCCTACATTTATTCCAATGCTTACTACTCAGAAAACGTGAAGGGACGCTTCACCATCTCCAGGGATGATGCCAAAAGCCAGCTGTATCTCCAAATGAACAATCTCAAACCAGAAGACACAGCTGTCTATTACTGTGCAGGAGACACAGTGAGAGGAAGTGAATCTGAAGCCCGTCAAGAACTTTCTCTACTTCTAAGCAGCTTACTCTTACTTACACTCAGTCCCTTTTCTTTTCTTCCAATGTGATCAAATTTCCTCAGTCAAATTCTTTTCTACGTTATTCATACTTTGGGTCTGGGTCTGTTTTCCTGTCTGGTTTCCACTACTTGTTGTTTATTCTTACCAGCACCTATAAATCAGGAGATTTTTTGACATGATGTACTCCATAAACATTCAAATCCATCAGCTTCTTTCCTCTATAAGGACATGAACAAATCCTATGGTTTCATTTGTAGATTTTTACACTTTGGAATGTGATGACCTTGAGCCTTGTTGGCGTAGCAGACTAATGCACTGTTAAGTAACACCAGTTGCCTGCAATTACTGCAAGTTCAAATCTCACCAGGGTCAAGGTTGACTCAGCCTTCCATCCTTTCGAGGTAGGTAAAATGAGGACCCGGATTGTGGGGGCAATAAACTGACTTTGTATAAAAAAGAACACCACTTAGGGGGGGCCAAAAGCCCTACTAAGCAAGTATATACAAAAGTATGAAGGCTATTGCTTAATGCATTGTAAGCCGTCCTGAGTCTCTGGAAAAGGGCGGCATATAAATTGAACCAATAAATAAATGACAGAAAGGAAATTCAGCTACCCTACTTCCACATTGCAAAGCAAGAATTCAATTTAATCAAATGTGAGGAAACCAATTGTATGAATAATGATTTTTTTTGTCTTCGTGCTTATAATGACAAGCCCAAATTTATATGTTTGTAGGTATATTTTAAAAAAAATCAACAAAGTGTATATAGAGATGACTTTTTTATCCATAAACATCCATGAATTAAGGGAAAGCTCCCGTTACTTGTCCCAACTTCTGCCAACCTAGCAGTTCGAAAGCACATTAAAAATGCAAATAGAAAAATATGGACCACCTTTGGTGGGAAGGTAACAGCGTTCCATGTGCCTTTGGCGTTGAGTCATGACCATGGAGACGTCTTTGGATAGTGCTGCCTCTTTGGCTTTGAAATGGAGATTAGCACCGCCCCCCTAGAGTCACAAACAACTGGCATATATGTGCAAGGGGAACCTTTACCTTTACTTTAAGGCAAAAATTGGTCTATCTGTGGCATTCCAAATCAGTGAATTCAAAGTGACTCATTTATCTTTCTGAGTCCACTGTGAGAATGTTGGTTAAACAATCATTTATTATTTTGACTGTGTATCCTGTAGACATCCCACAAATTGTGCTTTCTAAACCATTTTAATTGTTTAGCCATCCGAGCTTTAACACTCATGCTAGATAGAAATTCCCTAAGGATGGGCTTCTGCATGAGTCCAAAATGTCTCCAATTTTAATCTTCCTTCCTTCCTTCCTTCCTTCCTTCCTTCCTTCCTTCCTTCCTTCCTTCCTTCTTTTGTCATTTTTTTAATTTTTAGGATTGTCCATCTTGAGAAATCAACTCTGGGCAAGTAAGAAATAACAAAAAGACCACACAAAATACCCTCCAAAACAAAAATGATTTTGGACTGCATTCAATTCTTTTGGTTTTTTTTTTTCAAATTGTCATGTATAAAACCTTTCCTGAACTCAGATATTCTGCTGTTTTCATGCTTTCTAACATGCCTCGTTTAAATGTTCTTTGTGATTGTTTGTGATTTGTTACTTTGAATCACGTTTAAAAAGTGGTGAAATTTTGGAAGTCTCTGTTTTAGTTACTCTTCTGTAAAGGCTGCTTCATTTTTATTTGGACAGGAAAATTGTGTAAAAATCAACTGTGCAGGCCTGTGCAAGGACGACTATGAAAATCCTGCTCTGAGGAACTCTTTTAACTCCAGCAATATGTAAATGAAGGAACAATTTCTACTTTAAAAGCAACAGTTCACACCCACTGACACAAAGTTTGTTCATTTTCCCTAATTCTTTTCTCTCATATATCCTCCATTTATTAGAGAGAGGCAGAAATGATCCTGTGCCTAAACTTTTTATTCTTCCTTGTCTTCCTTGGAGGTAAAGTTTCACTTTACCCAGAGTTTCGTTCCATTTTCTGTTCTTACATACAAGAAATCTCATTGAAACATCTTTCTTTCTAGGTGTCCAATCTGAGGTTCAATTGGTGGAGTCTGGAGGGGATATGAGAAGACCTGGAGAGTCCCTCCGTCTCTCCTGCCAAGCCTCTGATTCACTTCAGCAGCCACTGGATGCAGTGGGTGAGACAGGCTCCAGGAAAAGGATTGGAATGGGTTGGATACATAACCACTGCTTCAGGTAGTGGTGCTTACTACTCTGACAAAGTGAAGGGATGCTTCACCATCTCCAGGGATGATGCCAAAAGCCAGCTCTATCTGCAAATGAACAGCCTCAAACCAGAGGACACAACAGTCTATTACTGTGCGAGAGACAAAGTGAGGAAGTGAATCTGAAGCCCGTCATGAACTTTCTCTGCTTCTGAACAGTTTACACTCATTTATTTTCAGTCCTGTATAAATCAAGGCACAATTTCCCCTTTAAAGGCAACAGCTGGTTTCCACCAACACAAAGTTTGTGCATTTCCCCAAATCCTTTTCTATCATATAGCTTCCATTTATTAGAAGGAGAGACCAAAAAATATCCTGGGCCTAAACTTTTTATCCTTACTAGCACTCCTTGGAGTTAATGTTTCCCTCTATGTAGAGTTTCTTTCCATTTGCTGTTCTGGGATACAGGATATCTCATTGAAACACCTTTCTGTTTAGATGTGAAGTCTGAGGTCCATTTGGTGGAATCTGGAGAAGACGTGAAGAGATCTGGAAGGTCCCTCCATCCCTCCTGCCAAAGCTTCAACTTTGGTATGACTTCCACTGGACAAGACATTCATTCATTCATTCATTCAATCAATCAATCAATCAATTTTCATGCCATCCATCTCATTATTAATCTTATCCCCGTAAAAGCAGGATAAAGATAAGTAAGGATCCAACATTAATAAAAGGCGTCATAGAGTCACATTGAGAAGGAATGATCAGTCATTTTGGAAGACTTCACTGAAATTATCTCAAGGAAGTTGGACATCCCATTTGGCTACAACCTGCACCACAAAGCCATGTCTGAGTTGACAACACATGTCCTGTGCTAAATATAGAAGAAATTTAATTTTTTGGCAAATACGTTAAAGGTAAATGTTCCTCTCCCACAAGTGTGCTAATCGTTCCCGACTCAAGGGGGCAGTGCTTGTTTCCGTTTCAAAGCCGAAGAGCCAGTGCTATCCGAAGATGTCTCCATGGTCATATGGCTGGCATGACTAAATGCCAGCGGTGCATGGAAAACTGTTACCTTCCCTATTTTTCTACTTGCATTTTTTACGTGCTTTCGAACTGCTAGGTTGGCAGTGAGAGGAAGTGAATCTGAAGCCCATCAAGAACTTTCTCTACTTCTGATCAGCTTACACTGATCAGTTTACGGTCCTTTTATTTCTTTCCTTTCTGAATTTCCTCAGTCTCATTCTTTCCTACATGTTATTCATTTTCCATTCCTTTGCCATTAATTTATACTCAGTATGCTTAAAGCTTAGTCTCTGTCCTTCTTCACTGTCTATAAAATCCCCTGATGCTTGAAGCTTTCTCCTCTTCAGCTGGGCTGTACCAAGGCTGCCAGATATTGAGAATTGCAAAAAAAAAATAAAAAAAAAAATCTAAAAATATTTTTGGATACTGATATGTACACCTATCCAGAAGATTCTGAAGGTTAAACTAAAATTGAAAGCAGAAAGTTTTCATTTGGAACTAATAAAGATTCAGCTAGGAAAGTCATGAAGCTTTCTTTTTATATATCAGTGATGGCTAACAATTTTGTCGTTGTGTGCAATAATGAACTGGTGGCATGAATCCCCACCCTGTGCATGACCCCTCGCATGCTAATGTGCCGCTTGTATTCCCCATGCTTGACCCCCCCCCCCGCATACATGCGTGACACCCCCACACTCCCCACTCACCCCCGAGCATGCACACACGACCACACCCCTCACCCATTTTTGGCTTCCAGGTTGGTGCAGGAGGCTTTCCAGGCCCAAAATGAGGCATGGGGGAGCCGCACGCGCCCTCCCCATGCCTCGTTTTGAACCTGGGTGGCTTCCTGCACCAACCTGGGAGCCAAAATGGGGTGTGTTGGTGCCGCGCGAGGCCCCAAAATGCAATCAGAGTGCCCCCTCGCGCATGTGCCCATCACTGCAAATGCAAAAGATCACATAAGCACTGATATAATCAACAGACCATAGTTGAAGAAGAAGCATTCACACACACACATATTTCTTGCACAATGCTTAAGTGAATTACTGCAGTGGTTAAGTTAGTAACTCAGTTCTTAAGTCAATCTGGGTTGACTTTGCTTGACAGAAGGACGTAAAAAGTGATCACAAGATCCCAAGTCACCGCAGAGGTCATAAATATGAGTCAGGTGCCAAGCGCCTGAATGTTGAGCATGTGACCATGGAGATGCTGCAACAGTCATAAGTGTGACAAATGGTCATAAGTCACTTTTTTCATTGATGTTATAACATGAAACGGTTACTAAACGAACTGTTGTAAGTCGAACTCTACCTGTATTTTAGTCCCATGCAGAAATCTGAAAATGAAACTTCAGGATGATCTTTCTAAATATCCAAACTGCCATTCACATATTGAGGAAACATCTGGACCTAAAGAATCTCCTCAGAGGAGTAGAAAAATGTGTCCTCTCCTCACTTTGGACGCCAGGGGGCAATGTTGACACACGAAACTCTACGGCTTATGGGTGAGGATAGAAATCAATTCTAAATATATATTGTCTAACTTTGGAGGAGTGACAGTTGTTGTTTGTTTGTGTAATTGTTCCCTGAAAATCTCTGAACAACTCCTTCCTTCCTTCCTTCCTTCCTTCCTTCCTTCCTTCCTTCCTTCCTTCCTTCCTTCCTTCCTTCCTCCCTCCCTCCCTCCCTCCCTCCCTCCCTCCCTCCCTTCTTCCTTCCTTCCTTCCTTCCTTCCTTCCTATGATTTTGGTCTGTGTTCAGTACTTTTGGGTCTCTTCAAATGGTCATGTTAAATGGAGGGGTGGTTGTATAAAATCTTTCTTCAACTCAGATGTGCTGTTGTTTTCATGCTTTCCAACATGCCTCTTTCAAACGTTCTTAGTGGTTCTTCAATATTCGTTACTTTGAATCTTGTTTGAGAAGTGGTGGAATTTTGCAAGTCTTTGTATTAGTTGCTCTTCTGTAAAGGCTGTTTCGTTTTTCTTTGGACGGGGAAAAATCCACTGTGCAGGGCCCATGCAAGGAGAACTATGAAAATCCTGCTCTGAGGAACTCTTTTATCTCAAGCAATATGCAAATGAGGGCACAATTTCCCCTTTAAAGGCAACAGGTGACATCCACAGAGACAAAGTTTGTGCATTTTCTCAAATTCTCTCCTTTCAATTTCCCCCTCATTCATTAAAGGGAGCCAAAATGACTCTATGGCTAAACTTGGTATTCTTTCTTGCATCCCTTGGAGGTAATGTTTCATTTTACGTAGAGCTTCCTTCCATTTGCTGTTCCTGTATATAGGAGATCTCATTGAAACGTCTTTCTTTCTAGGTGTCCAATCTGAGGTCCAGTTGGTGGAGTCTGGAGGGGATGTGAGGAGACCTGGAGAGTCCCTCCGTCTCTCCTGCCAAGGTTCTGGATTCACCTTCAGTAGCTATTACATGCAGTGGGTGAGACAGGCTCCAGGGAAAGGACTGGAATGGGTGGCCTACATATATACGGACTCATCATACATTTCCTACTCAGACAAAGTCAAGGGACGCTTCACCACCTCCAGGGACAATTCCAAAAGCCAGCTGTATCTCCAAATGAACAATCTCAAACCAGAAGACACAGCTGTCTATTACTGTGCAGGAGGCACAGTGAGAGGAAATGAATCTGAAGCCCGTCAAGAACTTTCTCTACTTCTTACTCTTACTTAGACTCAGTCTCTTTTCTTTTCTTTCAATATCATAAAATTTCCTCAGTCTCTTTTTTCTTTTCTACGTTATTCATACTTTAGGTCTGGTTATGTCTTCCTGCTTTGTTGTCAATACCTGTTGTTTACTCTTATCACCACCTATAAATCAGAGGTTTTGACATGATGTCCTCCATACACATTCCAATCCATCAGCTTCTTTCCTCTATAAGGACATGAAACGAATCCTGTGGTTTCATCTTGTGGATATTTTTAGACTTTGGAATGTGACGACAGGAAGGAAATTCAGCTGCCCCACTTCCACATTGGAAAGCAATAATTCAATTTAATCAAATGTGTTATAACCAATTTTATGAATAATGATTTTTTTCCTTCATACTTATAAGGACAATCCCATGTTTATATGTTTGTGTGTATATTAAAAAAAACCAACAAAGTGAATATAGAGATGACTTTTTTTTTTTTATCCATAAACAACCATGAATTAAGGGACAATAGGCAAAAATTGGTATATCTGTGACATTCCAAATCAGGGAATATAAAGGGAATCATTTATCTTTCTGAGTCCACTGTGAGAATATTGGTTAAACAGTCATTTATTACTTTGACTGTGTATCTTGTGGACATCCAACAAATTGTTGTTTCTAAACTATTTTTAATTGTTTAGTCATCCAAGCTTTAATACACATTAAATAGATAGAAATTCCCTGAGGATGGGCTCCAGCAGGAGTCTGAAAGTTCAGAAGACTAAACCTCTGGTCCCAGTGAATGATCCAGATTGGATTCTACAACACAACACACTATTTTCATTTCTTTCTTCTGTTTCTTTTCGGCCTATGTCTCCATTTTGAATTTTCCTTCCTTCCTTCCTTCCTTCCTTCCTTCCTTCCTTCCTTCCTTCCTTCCTTCCTTCTTTCCTTCATTATTTTTTTAAGTTTTAGGATTGCCCATCAAGAACTTTCTCTGCTTCTGAACAGTTTACGCTCATTTATGATCAGTCCTGTATAAATCAAACCACAATTTCCCCTTTAAAAGCAACAGCTGGTTTCCACCAACACAAAGTTTGTGCATTTCCCCAAATCCTTTTTTATCATATACCCACCATTTATTAGAAGGAGAGACCAAAAATTATTCTGGGCCCAAACTTTTTATCCTTGGAGTTAATGTTTCCCTCTATGTAGAGTTTCCTTCCATTTGCTGTTCTGGGATACAGGATATCTCATTGAAATACCTTTCTTTTTATATGTGAAGTCTGAGGTCCATTTGGTGGAGTCTGGAGAAGACATGAAGAGATCTGGAAGGTCCGTCCATCCCTCCTGCCAAGGCTTCAACTTTGGTATGACTTCCACTGGAGAAGTCTTTCTTTCTTTCTTTCTTTCTTTCTTTCTTTCTTTCTTTCTTTCTTTCTTTCATTCATTCATTCATTCATCATTCATCATTCATCATTCATTCATTCATTCATTATGCATCATTCATTCATTCATTCATTCATTCATTCCATATTCATGCCACCCATTTCATTATTAATTTTATCCCTGTAAAAGTAGGATGACGGTAAGTAAGAACCACCATTAATAAAATGCATCGTAGAGTCACACTTGAGAAGGAGTGACAAGTCATTTTGGAAGAGTTCACTGAAACTATCTCAAGGAAGTTGAGCATCTCTTGAGGCTTCAACTTGCACCATGAAGCCATGTCTGAGTTGACAACAGATGTCCTCTGCTAAATATAGAAGAAACTGAATTTTTTTTTTTTTTTTTTTTTTTGGCAAATACAAAGTGCCATATTTGTATTTCTTGGTCCACAGAGATCATGTACATAGTGGCATTGTCATTAATAGTATTATATCAGTAGTATTAGTATTATTATTTCATTTTGCATGCCTATTCATCATGAGGAATCAACTCTGGGCAGCGGACAAGCAATAGAAAGAACACACAAAATAGCAAATAATAATAATAAAAAAACCAGAATGTGAAATGCATAAAACTGCTTAGATAAAACCAATCTAATAGGAAAAAGGACACAAACACACCAAAAGGCCCAGTGATGTCTACTCTGCCTGTGGATTCTTTCATTCAGGTTTTTCAACTTGAACATCTGAGTGCAATTAACATGTAGCATGGAACGTGCATCTTACAGCTTGGTCAGCATTTGGTTCTTTCTGGTTTCTTCGAAACAAAATAGTCAAGGAAAATGTTTGGTCCTTAACACAACTATTTAAGGCATTTGTTTGTTTGTTTGTCAACAAGGACAAGGAAACAAGTAACAGTATAGACATAAACATGGACAAATGAAAAAAATGGGCACAGAAAAAGAATATACATAGGCAAAACATAGCCATAAACACGTAGAATGAGTCCATATAAATGGGGACAGTAGGACAGGGACGGTAGGCACGCTAGTGCACTTATCCACGCCCAGGGGTGAAATGCTCCCAGTTCGGACCAGATCACCCGATCCGGTAGTGATGGAGGCGGGTGGTTCGGAGAACCGGTAGCAAAAATCCCTGCACCCCCCCATGCCCAGCTGAGCCACACAATCATCAGAGGATTTTTTTTTTTTTTTACTTTTAAAAGCATTTTTTCTACAACCTCTTCCGACAAAAAAATGCTTTTAAAAGTAAAAAAAAAAAAGCCTCTGATGATCATGCGGCTCAGCTGGGATCATCAGAGGCTTTTCAAAGCATTTTTTTCTGCAACCTCTTGGCCAAAGAGGTGGTAAAAAAAATGCTTTGAAAAATCTCTGACGATCCCAGCTGAGTTGCCTGATCGGCAGAGAGGTATTTTTTAAAAAGCCTCTCTGACTATCCCAGCTGAGTTGCCTGATCGGCAGAGGCTTTTCAAAGCATTAGAAAAAATGCTTTGAAAAGTTTTTTTTTTTAAAAAAGTTGGCCACGCCCACCCAGTCACATTACCCCACACACACCAAGCCACATCCACAGAACCAGTAGTAACAAATTTTACATTTCACCCCTGTCCATGCCCCCTTAGGGACCTCTTAAAAAACGTGAAAGGTCCACGTTAGACAGTTTAAGGTAAAAGGTATGGGGGATTAGTGAGACTAACAACAGGATCAGGTAGAGTGTTCCAGACATTTACTACTCTATTGCAGAAGTCATATTTCCTACAATCAAGATTAGAGTGAATTACATTGAGTTTGAATCTATTGATAGTCCTTGTATTATTACGGTTGAAATTAAAGTACTCATTTACAGGTAGGACTTTTTGGTAAATAATCTTATGAACTAAGCATAGGTCAGAATGTAGACGGCATAGTTCGAGGCTATCCAGACCTAAAATTTCAAGTCTATAGGGAATAAGTATAGGGAATTTTATTTCGAGCAGAAGATTTGAATACTTTTCTAGTAAAATATCTCTGGACCCTCTCTTATGTATTAACGTCTGAAATACAGTGAGGATTGCAGGCAGGTGAGCAGTATTCCAGTATAGGTCTGGCAAAGGTTTTATATGCCCTAATTTGAAGTATAGCCTTACCAGAGAGAAAACTTCATAAAATGAGATTGATAACTCTTAATGCCTTTTTTTGCAATGATGTTACAGTGAGCTCTGGGACTTAGATCTTTTGAAATGAGTAGGTCCTTGACAGAATGTGGGTCAACTTTTAGATCATTACCAGCCAGCAAATATTTGAAGTTCTTATTTCTACTGCCAATGTGCAGGACTGAATAATTGTTAGCAGAGAATTGTTAGACCATTCAGATACATAGTCAAGGTCATTTTGAAGGGCAGCAAAGTTGTCTGTGGTGTTGAATGGTTTAACATCATCAGCAAAGAAGACACCGCTGCTTATAATTTGATCACAATTATCGTTGATATAAAGCAGAAAGAGTGTTGGGCCTAGAATGCTGCCTTGGGGAACACCACTGTTAACAGGTGCAGGATTTGATAGGGTGCTGTCTATTTTGACCACTTGTTGCCTGTTTGACAGAAATGCAGCTATCCAATTATGTAGGAGTCGAGAAATGACATAATATTTTAATTTCAGAAGTAGTTTGTCATGCACAACTGAATCAAAGGCTTTACAGAAGTCAACGTAAATTGCATCTATTGCTTTGCCCTGATCGAGTTGAGAGGTGCAGATGTTTTTGCAGTGTATGTGTATTCTCAATGCATCTTTTCTTTCCCTTATTATTGAATACTTTCCTGAACTGTGAAGATTTTTCAGATGTGATTTTAATGACTGCAGTGTAAGCCTGTCTTTTCCCTAAAGACTAGGTGGATAAAAATGCCAAATCTAAAAATCTAAAAATGCCCCAAGTGTTGGAAGTGTGGATGTCATCAAGGTACCTTCTTTCATATGTGGTGGTCCTGTCCCAAAGCAAAAAGGTATTGGAGAAAAATTCAGAATTGGCTACAAGAAGTAATTAATGAAAAAATTGAATTGATACCTGAAACATTTCTCCTGGGAATACTAAAGACGAAATATGGGAAAAATAGAAGATATTTAATCATACATATACTTACTGCAGCAAGAATAGCCTATGCCCAGTATTGGAAAGAAAAAGATATACCACCAGAGGAACATATTATTCAGAAAGTTCTAGAATGTGCCAAAATGAACAAATTAACGTTAGAATTAAATGAGAAAGAAGACTCAGAATATTATATGGTGTGGGATGATTGGTACAGGTGGATTGATAACCGAATAAAGAATAGATAAAAGTTAATACAAATTTTAAGATGCATACAGGAATGTGGAATGATGAAATGTAAAGGTAGAATCAATCTAACCTGTGTATAAAAATAACACTGTCTGACTGATTGTACTGTATTGTAATATATTAAATTTCAATATTTTTTTTTAAAAAATGCCAAATCTAGCATAAACAAGAGGGTAATTATGCAATGAACCATAATAATGAGACATTAATGTCCTCCCTCCCTCCCTCCCTCTGTCTCTCTCTCTGTCTCCCACCCACCCACCCTCCCTCCCTCTCTCCCTCTCTCTTGTTTCTTTAATGTGCCATTAGAATTTTTGTAATGTGTGTGCAAAGAAATGCATAGGTGACTGCCCCAAGCAGCTATTTTCTCTCGTGCAATATGTAAATCAGGGTGCAATTCTCCTTTTAAAAGAGCCAGCTGGTTTCCCACAACATAAAGTTTGAGCATTTTCCCTGAATCTTTTATTGTCGATTCGTTAGAGGGAGCAAAAATGACTCTGTGGCTAAAGCTGATCTTCTTACTAGGAATCCTTGGAGGTAATCCTTCCCTCTGTTGATTTTCCTTCAGTTTGCTTCTCTTGTATATAGAGATGTCACTGAAACTCCTTTCTTTCTAGGTGTCCAGTCACAAGCCCAGTTTGTGGAGTCTGGAGGAGATGTGAGAAGGCCTGGAGAGTCCATCCGTCTCTCCTGCCAAGCCTCTGGATTCACCTTCGGTGGCTACTGGTTGCACTGGGTGAGACAGGCCGCAGGGAAAGGACTGGAATGGGTGTTATCGATAAATCCAACTTCAAGTAGCATTTTCTACTCAGACAAAGTGAAGGGGCGCTGCACCAGCTCCACAGACAACGTCAGAAGACAGCTGTACCTGCAAATGAAAAGCCTCAAACCAGAGGACACTGCAGTCTATTATTGTACAAGGGACACAGTGAGAGGAAATGAATCTGAAGCTAAACAAAAACCGTCTTTTCTTCACAGCAGCTCCGCAACTTGATTCAGCCCCAGATCAGAGGTGGGTTTCAGCAGGTTCTGACCAGTTCTGGAGAACCGGTAGCGGAAATTTTGAGTAGTTTGAAGACGCTTTTGTTTCATCAAGCTGGCCTCGCCTAAATCTTCTCCCTTTTAAGTGTAAATTCTAAATTTTTAATGGATTTTAAAATATGGGTATTTTAAATTGGGTATTAATTCAGCCAAATTTATTTAATTCATTTTATTTGATTTTAAATTTTGTATATCTATGTGTTTTATTTCATGGCTGTGCACCGCCCTGAGTCCTTCGGGAGTAGGGCGGTATAGAAATTCAATAGAAAAAACCGGTAGTAAAAATTCTGACTGGCCTCGCCCTCATCTATTCCTCCCACGTCCCAACTGATTGGGAGGGAATGGAGATTTTACAGTATCCTTCCCCTGCCATGCCCACCAAGCCACACCCACCAAGCCACGTCACTCCCACCAAGCCACGCCCACAGAACTGGTAGTAAAAAAAAATGAAACTCATCACTGTCCCAGATCCTAAATTAGCTAATTAGGATTCACCATCACATACTGTAGTGAGAATTTTAGGATTCTATTATTCTGGGTTTCCAGTCACAAAATTTGCTGGAAGACAATGAAAAATGAGGACAATGGCTTCAAAATTCCACTTTCAACTTCACAGTTTGCAAAGTGATTTGACTTCAGAGGGGAAAAAAACCCTGGAATGGTATATTCTCCATTAATATCATGGCAGAAGCCTGGCAAAGAAGCTTGAGGAAAATCCTTCTAATGATCCCAAAAGCCATTCACAAATTTGAGGAAAACTCTGGAACAAAAGAATTCCTTTGGGGAAATAGGAAGTCGTGTTCTTTCCTCCTTTTTGACACCTGGGGGTGATGTTTTCACACAACACCCATAGGGTACCCCAGGATAATGTTGCTGGATCCAATCTGAATTGTGTCAGACTTCGATGCTATCTCAAAATAAATGAATTTCCAAACTGCCAATCTTTAAGGAAATATTTTCTTTAATTGAGCACAGCCACCAGATCATGACTCGATGCGGACAAGACTGACCTTTTGCCCCCCAATCCCTCCCTTTCCGATCCCCAAATATCTGCTTCTCATTGGCTATCTTCCAAGTCATTCTTCAGACTTCTTGTCACGTCATTTCCCAGGAATGTCTCCCCCCTTCATTTCCACGACAACCGGACATCAAAGGGATTTAGCAGGCAGAAGTTCAGAGCTTATCTCTCTCTCTCTCTCTATCTCTATGCCAGCAAAACGCTGACAGATTGTTCACCAGGACCAATGGTTGAGTCCTCTGAGCTTTCAGATTCGTGCTGCAGCCATCCTCAGGGAATTTCTCTCTACATCACGGGTGTCAAACGCACGTCATCACGTTGTCACGTGACATATCGTAAGCTTTTTCTCATTCACTAAACTGTGGGCGTGGCCAGTGCGTGATGTGGGTGGGTGTGGCCAGTGTGTGACGCAACTGGCCAGTGAGTCGCAAGTTTGACACCCCTGCTCCAGATCCTAAAATCTGTTGCCATTTCTTTTTACTCTTTCTTTTCTGACTGTTTCTACATTTTTAATCCTTCCTTCCTCCCTTCCTCAAAGTGGTTTACTATTATTTATACCGTATATAAGGATATACTATTATTATATTATGCCAATTTTTCTGGTGGCCTTTTTATTTCAATTGTTATTATTACTTTTGTCAATGTCACTGGTTATTATTTCACTGTTTATGGCTGTCTGTCTTGGCAAATCAACTCAGGGCAAGTAAGAAGCGATAAAAACACTGCATAAATTAGCAAAAGAGACTACAAACCAAAATGATCTTGCTCTACATACAATACTTTTGGGTTTCTTCAAAAGGTTATGCTGAATGGAAAAAAATGTATAAAACTTTTCCTGAACTGAGATGTGCTACTGTTTTCATGTTTCTTTACTTCCTTCCTTCCTTCCTTCCTTCCTCCCTTCCTCCCTTCCTCCCTTCCCTTCCCTTCCCTTCCCTCAAAGAGGTTTATTATTATTTTTCAAACTATAGTCATTGCTTTGATGACATTTTTATTACAATTGTTATTATCATTATTCCTGTCATGGTTATTATTTCAATTTAAATGGCTGCCCATCTTGGCAAATCAACTCTGGGCAACTAACAACTCACATACACACAGACAGAGAGGGAGGGAGAGCAAAATAGCCTCCAAAACAAAAATGATCTTGCTCTGCATTCAGTTCCTTCCGGTTTCTGGAAAAGGTGTGTTGGAAGAAATATTCAGCTGGTTCAATTCCAAGCCAGGAGAAAGACACCGGAGACAAAATGGAGGCTGGATCTGATTGGAAAGAGGGTCCATTTATTGATGAAGCATAACCACCAAGCAAGTGTGATTCTAGGCATCTGACCACATGGAATTGAGAGCGAAGGGTATTTATAACTTCACTTGAGCTCTGCACTTTAGCTTCCTGTTCCTGTGGAAGAACATGTATTCTATTAGCTGTTGTAGGGGTCATAGCTAACTCTATAGGCTGTTGGAGTCCCAGGTTTGGTTGAAGTTTGGAGTGTCCTTAGGAGATGGCGCGATGTGGAGAAATCTGCTGATAGATGGGTTAATCCTATTAAGTCCTGGATTGTCATGTCTTAATCCCATCACTCTGGAGCTGGAGATCTTTTGTCTTGTAGATAGGTTGGCCCAGTCTTTCTTACTGGGTACCAAATATCTGCTGGGGTCAGGGAGCTGCTTTCTGTCTTTAAAACATTTTTCTTCTTTTATCATCCAGAGAAATACAATATTCTGATTTTTAATATTTCTCAAAATAATTCATAGGAGACGGGTGAGTACAGGTATTTAAAGTGGAAAATGTATAAAACCTTTCCTGAACTCAGATGTGCTTCTGTTTTCCTGCATTCTAACATACGTACATTTATTTATTTATTTATTTATTTATTTATTTATTTATTTATTTATTTATTATATTTCTATACCGCCTTTCTCCCGTAGGACTCAAGGCGGTGTACAGTCAAGAAAAATATAGACACACAAACATCATAAAATTGCTAATTAAAATTATTACTTTGGTCAATTAAATAAAACCCAGAATTAGATAACATTTAAAATGTTAACATGTTAACATGCCTCTTTCAAATTTTCTTTCAAATTTTCTTACTGCTTGTTCATGATTTCTTACCTTGAATCACTTTTGAGAAGCAGTGACATTTTCAAAGTCTTTGTTTTAGTAACTCTTCTCTGAAGGCTGCTTCATTTTTCTTTGGACTGGAATATTGTGTAAAAATCAACTGTGTGGGGCCTGTGCAAAGACTATGAAAATCCTGCTCTGAGGAACTGTTTTATCTCAGGTAATATGTAAATGAAGGAACAATTTCCCCTTCAAAGGCAACAATTGACACCCACTGACCCAAAGTTCATGCATTTTCCCAAATCCTTTTCTCTCATATATCCTCCATTTATTAGAGAGAGGCAGAAATGACCTTGTGCCTAAACTTTTTATTCTTATTTGCACTCTTTGGAGGTAATATTTCACTTTATCTAGAGTTTCCTTTCAATTTCTGTTCTTATATACAGGAGATCTCATTGAAACATCTTTCTTTTTAGGTGTCCAATCTGAGGTTCAGTTGGTGGAGTCTGGAGGGGATATGAGAAGACCTGGGGAGTCCCTCCGTCTCTCCTGCCAAGCCTCTGGATTCACCTTCAGCATCTATGACATGAACTGGGTGAGACAGGCTCCTGAGAAAGAACTGGAATTTGTGGCACATATATGGATTTCAAATATCTTCTACTCAGACAAGGTGAAGGGACGCTTCACCATCTCCAGAGATGATGCCAAAAGCCAGCTGTATCTGCAAATGAACAGCCTCAAACCAGAGGACACGGCTGTCTATTACTGTGCAAGAGGAACACAGTGAGAGGAAGTGAATCTGAAGCCTGTCAAGAACGTTCTCCACTTCTGAACAGTTTACGCTGATTTACACTGAGTCCTTTTAGTTCTTTCCTTGCTGAATTTCCTCAGTCTCCTACTTTCCTACCTGTTATTCATTTTCCATAACTTCACCATTAATTTATAGTCAGTATGCTTAAAGCTGAGTCTCTGTCCTTCTTCACTCTCTATAAATTCCCCTGATGCTTGAAGCTTTCTCTTTCAGCTGGACTGTGCCAAGACTGACAGATATTGAGAATTGCCAAAAAAATCTAAAAATATTTTTGGATACTGATATGTACACCTATCCAAAAGATTCTGAAGGTTCAACTAAAATTGAAAGCAGAAAGTTTTCATTTGGAACTAATAGAGATTAAAGCTAGAAAAGTCATGAAGATTTCTTTTTATATATCAGTGATGGCTAACAATTTTGTCGTTGTGTGCAATAATGGATTGACCCCGTGACCCCCAGTGCATGACCTCCCCATATGCTCATGTGACCCCCCGTGTTCCCCATGCACATGCACATGTGAACCCCATGCTCCCCACTCACCCTCATGCGTGCGCATGCGATCCCCTGGATGGCACACACCCATTTTTAGCTACCAGGTTGGTGCAGGAGGCTTTCCAGGCCCAAAATGGGGCACGGGCGAGCCGTGTGCACCTTCCCCGTGTCCTGTTTTGGGCCTGAAAGGCCTCTTGCACCAACCTGGAAGCCAAAATGGGGCATGGGGGACTGCACACCCTTCTTGTGCCCCGTTTTGAGCCTGGAAGGCCTCCTGCACCAACCTGGAAGGCAAAATTGGACGTGTTGCAACACAAGGCCCCAAAATGCAATGTGAGTGCCCCCTCATGCATGTGCCCATCCCTGCACATCCCCCGCTTGAGCCCCACCCCTGTGCATGCACAGCAGAGAGCCGAAGACCAGCTGGCCAGGGGGAGACGTGCACGAATGCACGGTGGAGTGGAGCTGGGCTGGGGAGACAGCTGGAATGCCCAGAGAGAGGGCTCTGTGTGCCACAGGTGGCACACATGCCATAGGTTCGCCATCACAGTTATGCATGATAACTGAAGGGAAACTATTCTTTGCTCAACAATGGAAAGACTCGTCATCACCACAATGGAGGCATGGATGATGAAGATGATGGAACCTTCAGAAAAGCCAAAACTAACATCTTTGATTAATAAACCCTTTATAGACCTTTGGCACGAAACAGAAAAACATGCAGTTGTGATTTGTGGTTTGGATGAAAAATAAATGGATAGTAGGAAAAACATGAGCTCCATTTTGTAATCATCAAGTAAGAGTTAATATTGTAAAGGTAGTTAAGTTTGCTGCAGAAGAAATACAAAGCTTCCATTTACAGTTCCTTTTCAGTCTCTTTCTGTACTTTTTAACCTTCCTCCCTCCTTCTATTCCTTCCTTCCTTCCTTCCTTCCTTCCTCCCTCCCTCCCTCCCTCCCTCCCTCCCTCCCCCCTCCCATCCATCCATCCATCCATCCATCCATCCATCCTTCCTCCCCCAAGATGGCTGCCCTTCTTGACAAATCAACTCTGGACAAGTAAGAACTAATAAAAATACCAAACAAAAGAGCCTCCAAAAGAAAAATGATCTTGGTCTGCATTTAGTTCTTTCAGGTTTCTTCTAACGACCTATTAAAGCGAATAAAACATCTGGACCTAAAGAATCTCCTCAGAGTATTAGAAAAATGTGTCCTTTTGTCACGTTGGACAGCAGGGGGCAATGTTGACACATGAAACACCGTGGCTTATGGGTGAGGGTAAAGTAGGGAATAAATCAATTCTAAATAGATACTGTCTCATTTTGGAGGTCTTGTAGTTGTTATTTCTGTAATTGTTCCCTGAAAATCTCTGAAGAAAAGTCCTCCTCTGAGGAGGCTACAATCCTCCCTATGAAGCAGAGAATTGTTATTTTTAAAAAAGGATGTCTATCATTTCTGGTTTTGTTGTCAGAAAAACTGTCCAGGTAGTTCAAATCTTTGATGGAAATGAAAATAATGTTGAGGGATGTTTAGTCAGGTTTGGTGGCCATGCAGAAAAGCCAAATATATATGGATATAGATATGTACACTAATTCAGAAGATTTTGTGGGTTAAGCTGGATGAAAAGGATAAAGAGAGTGTTATTTTTGGAGTAATAGATAGGTAAATGAATTTTTAAAAAAACCACAAAGCTTTCTTTTTATATATATAGCAACTGCAGGGAGATTATTATAGGCCCCAGAATGGAAAGACTTGACACCATAATGAATGTTTCACAGGTGAGATGATGGAACCTGCAGTTAAACTAAAGTCTTTGACTAGAAAACCTTTCTTAGACATTTTGTATATAATGGGAAAACATTAATTTACCTTCAATCTACATTTCATTCTTTCTGCATTAATCTACCTTCAATCATCTGATACCGCAAGTGCTTTCCTCACAGTGTTTTACACCTAGGCTGCCAAATCTTATAAATTGAAAATGGCCTCCCAGATGCCTTCTGGTCTGTATAGATTGGCCCATCTTCATGTTTTGTTGTCACTGTCTGGTAGTAACATCTTTCATTAGAAAAAAAATTAGGGTTGCCAGGTGTCCACTATTTGAGCGGACAGTCCACTATTTTCACATTATGTTCACTATTTTTTTTCACAAAATAGTGGACATTTTTTTTATTCAAAAGCTTTATGATGAAATGGTACGTAATCTAAAGCTGTACAGTCTAAGAGAATAAGGATAGGAGAATTGCGTTTTGTCTTTTTTTTTCATAAGTTAGAATGAGACAAAGATCGAATGCTCATTGCAATAATCACATTTTACACAACAGCGCAAAAAATGCATTAAAGCAGTTATCTTTTGATATCGAAAATGTAGTGCTGAAGGTTTTTGCCGAATTTTCAAATTCTGTGAAGAAACAAGAAGAATTGAAATCATTTTTTGAGTTTTGCGAGTCAGAATTCCATGAAGTTTTGTGCCATGTTCCAACACGTTGGTTAAGTTTGTTTAAAGCGTCGAAATACTTCTTTTAAACTGGATACCTCTAAAATTGTATTTTATTTCTCTTGGATCTGATGAGTGCCATAAGGTTGTCTGGAATCTTATTTCGGATCAGGAAAATGAACTCGCAAAGGACGATGAACCAACCATTTCAGAATTGTATTTATATTTCACGCACTTCTTCATGTCAATAATGCAAGACACCCTACTGAAGCTGGAAAGCAAGAAAATTCTTGCATGTGATCTTTACATTATCATGTGTAAGCTGCGTGATTCTTTGCAAAAAAAATACGATGAGCAGTTTTTTGGAATGAAAGTTTTATTTGCCTTACATAAAAAACATTTGCCTGAGAATGCCGTGCAAAAGTTCAAGAAAGAAGCCATCAACGTGTATCAAAGAGCCATTGCGTACCTAGAAAAGTGGTATATAATTTCACCGATTCAGCATATGAGACGCTAAGTTGTTTCAATCTAATTGATCGCAATAATCCTCCAACTTTAGAAGAAATGACGAACATCTGGTTATTATCACCATGGCGAAAAGAACTTCCACCCAACACTCTCTTCGATGAAATTTCTGCCTTAGAAGAAGTTTATGTTCATCTGCAGGGTGATTCATCCCTTGATAAGTGGACATACTTTTGCAAGAAAGAGCCAGCTCCGAGTTTACTGAAACTGTTCCAATATTGTGCATCAATTCCGGTATCAAATGGAAATGTTGAACGAATTTTCAGCATCATGGGAAATTTGTGGACTGACGAACGTAACCAACTGCTTGTATCAGTTCGAAGTGAACTTTGTATATTTTTTAATATTTCTCAATGTTGTACTGAAATTAAAGAATTATTCCTTAAACACAAAGAATCAAAGCTGCGCAGTCAAAGAAAAAATACACACGACAGCAAAGTAAAATGTAATTTAATATTTTACATATTATTATAATATATTTGATGTTTTGAATTTTAAGTAAAGTTTTGAAGTGATTATTTTAATACATGTTAAAATGTTTGTAAGAAAATATATAATTTAATTGTAATTTTTTAAATTTTTTTTACTACTTAACACCCCCCACCCCCGCTTGGCCGCTATTTTTTGGAAGCAGACCTGGCAACCCTAAAAAAAATTATAAACATTTTGCAAACAACAGAAAAACATGCAGTCATGGGTTTTTTTTTTTTTTCTCATGGTTAGAAAAAAATGGATAAAGAAAAAGATGAGCTCATTTTTATAACTGCAACGTTAACAGTTCCTGTTATAAATGTACTTATATAGTAAATTTAGAACATATAAAAATAGGAAGCTTTTGTTTTTTTTTTTCAATCTCTCTTCACCTAGCTTCCTTCCTTCCTCCCTCCCTCCCTCCCTCCTTCCCCTCCTTTCCTTCCTTCCTTCCTTCCTTCCTTCCTTCCTTCCTGCCTGCCTGCCTGCCTGCCTGCCTGCCTGCGGGTTACTATTATTTTTCAATCTACAGTGAGTGATTTGATAATATTTTTTTATTAGAATTGTTATTACTATTCTTCTTGAAATTGTCAGGAAATCTCTTTTATCTTAACCAATATGTATATGATCTAGGTTTGCATTTGGTACTTTGGGGCTTCTTCAAAATGTCATATTAAAGGGAAAATGTACAAAACATTTTCTGAACTCAAATGTGCTATTTTTAAAAAAATAGGGTATTTGCGGGACCGCCTTCTGCCGCCGATAGCCTCCCACCGACCAGTACGCTCCCACAGAGAGGGACTCCTCAGGGTGCCGTCAGCCAGGCAATGTCGGCTGGTGACCCCCAGGGGGAGGGCCTTCTCTGTGGCAGCTCGTGCCCTCTGGAACGATTTGCCCCCGGAGATACGAAGGATATCGGATCTCTGGTTTTTTCGCCGTGCCCTAAAAACTTTTCTTTTCCATCAAGCAGGGCTGGTGTGAACCTCCCCCCCCCTTTTTTTTTAGTTTTTAAATTGTCAATGGTTTTTAGTTTGAATGTTTAAAATTTTGGG